TACCGTAACGTAACTACGTACGTACTACGTACGTACGTAGTAGTAGTAGTAGTAGTAGTATATATATATATATATAGTATAGTAGAGTAGAGAGAGAGAGAGAGAGAGAGAGAGAGAGAGGTGGGAATCAAATACATGGCCATTTTCTGAAACTGTGATTCGACCGTGATCCAGTCCCAAAACCAATACCAAACTGTAAGATACACATTTGTAATTCTAATAAACAAGTTACAGGCAGAAATACTTAAATATCTCTGGCATTCTTACAAGTAAAAGAAATCCTTAAAGCAATTAGCCACACTTAAGAAGTTCAAGTAGGTATTGCTCTCCTCCTAAACGGAGCTACATGAGGATCCAATGAAACTGCTCTGAGATGCTTTATGCTCTGCTTCATTTTATTCTTTTTTTCTGAATCTTTATTGTATTGCTTCAATTGAGAGGTCAATAATCAAAAGCTCATAGAGAGTGATATGCCCAGCTACAATGAATCTTTTCCCATCTTGTAACATACCCGTACAAGTAAACTTCGGTTGAAATGTGAAAATTGCGTAGGAATTTGTTAGATCAATTTGTAGAGGTCACTATGTATTTTGGGAGTACGGGGACAAGCCATCGAGCTAGGGGCCCACGAGAGATGAGATATATGATGAAGCCCCCATACAATAGTGTGATAACTGTCACCACCACCACAAACATAGGACCGCTCACCTCCGCAACACAAAAATCAAGGAGAAGGTAACCATTGATTGCTATTACTAGCGCAGCCACCATCCATGACACTACCTGCAAAACAAAAGATGCAATATGAGAAGTGCAGCTTGAAAAAGAGCAATTACCAAGAATGGACATTGTTTAGTAAAGCTGCAATACACAAGTATCTTATATGGGTGGACACAGGACCTGGTTCGGTCTAATCCTCCTAACATGGACCCAACCTGTTCTGGGTTTGGTAGACCAGTACCTAATGCAGGCCTGAAACATCGTCCAATTGGCCCTTTCCATTCAACTAGGACCTGACACTTTGTCTTAATATAGGGACGTGTACCTCAACCCAGACCCTGCCGGGTTCAGATCCTCCTAACCCAGACCCAAACCATCGCAGGTTTGATATACCTGAAACCAACCCCCCCCAACACAAGACAACTCAACAGACCCCAGCAAAGGCAGTAGGCCCCTTTTTCCATCTAAAACCATCCATTCCTTTGCTTGCCGTTTTTCCATCTAAAATCATCCCAATTTTCCATCTAAATCATCAAGAAGAAAGACTTGAATACTAGAGAAGCAATTCTAGGAGTTATAAGAAAACAGGAAGAGTGAATGAAAGATAAGATACTCTAGGGCTCATAGGAAAAAAAAAGAAGAATGAATAACAAAGAAGAGAAGTATGCAAAAACCCCAAGGTTTACATCCAAATCACAAAAACCAAAATGAATTTCACAAAAGAATTAAAAATCCGCATTCAAAGAAACCCCCCCAAAATCATAAAAAAGCCACAAATAATCTAAACCAAAAATGTCAAGAGCACATATACTATGCTCCCAGAGCATAGTGTACATCTTATCCCTAGGTCAACTTGGGAGAACTTTTTCAATCTGAAATTTTGAGAACCCCCTACAAATCACTAGATTAATATTCTCAAAAGAATTTTGAGCTTCCTAACATTTAGATCTCACTCTCTAAAAACTTGGTGGTCTCTATTAATCTTAAGACATTAATTTTTTTCTTCAAGTGCATAGAGGATGCAATTAGCCGACTCCAAATAGTTGGGTGATGATAGAGCCACCATTAGGAAATTTTCTTTCTTGAGGTTAATCTAAGGGTTGAAGAGGTTACATCCCAAAAACTTGGGATCCTAAAATTAATCTTAGATAGGGTTTTACCAAAGGGAGTAAATGGATAGTATACTCCAGCTGCCCAGCAGGTCTATAAATTTTCTGGCAAATATCAAACAACCCCTTTGTAACATCAAAATCAAAACCCCCCAAATCTGAAAACCCCAATCAATCCAATGCACTATAAAAAAACCATAAGACACAGATTCCAAGTCTTTGGATAAAAAAATCTCATTTGTGTACACCGCATGAAGAACCCTATCAAGAATCCAAGAATCCAGAAACACAACCTAAAACCCATAGACTTTCCTTTGGTTTCCTCTCATAATACGAGTTACAAGAACATCTCCATGTTTTCAAAACTAATCCTCAATTTATCTTCTCAAAATTCCACTAAAATTTAGAAAAAATATGAGATATTATGTACAGAAAGAGATTTTCTCATACCTCTCTCCCTATGGGATGGAGAGAGAGAGAGAGAGAGAGAGAGAGACAGGA